TTAGGCTATCAATTTTTCTGTAACTCGCCACTAGATGGCGCTGTAGAACAATTTTTTGAAGGCACAGTTCTATAACGCTGCGCACGCCCAAGTTCGTTGATACCAATTCTGTCAAAACATTGGAACAGCAGCGATACAGCAACATAGTACTAGTTCTTTATAAATCACTGTAACCGCATAACAGCCAGAGGAGACTTTGCAATTGAGTTGTTTTTCATGATCCACAAATTTTAAATTCAGGTCAATGAACACTCCTAGAAATTTAGTGTTATTTTTAGATTCCAATAATCTGTCTTCAAAAAAAAGTTCGTTGATTGAGCATCTGAATGATATTAAATTTGTTTTAGTTGAGTTAAAAGATAAAATGTTTGAATCAAACTAATCTTTAACTTTTTTCAAGTCGGCAGAGATTATTTTGTGCAACTCACAAGTGTTTTTATCATTCCAAAGTATGGTAGTGTCATTTGCAAATAAGGTGAAGTATTGAGCTTGGTGAGGGCATTAATATATAATAAGAAAAGAATGAGACCTAACACGAACCTTGTGGAACTCCAGAATCAATTTCCTTTTTTTTTTAAGTTGAGTTGTTTTGACCATTTGCGTCCGTCCCTTCGAGAGGGAATCGAACCATTTGAGAGTTACTCCTCTGCATCCATAACGTTGGCGCTTTCTCAGCAGTATTTTGTGATCAACGCCGTCAAATGCCTTTGACAGGTCACAAAATACTGCGGCAGTCTTTTCACTGACATTTATCTCAGAATAAACTTTATTCAGAAATGGGAAAATAGCATGGGGCGTCATTTTATTATTCTGGAAGTCAAATTGATTTTCACTGATGATGTTATGCTTATTTATAAATCCAAGAAATAGTTTTTAAGCTAGTTTTTCAATGATTTTGACGATGATTGGTATGAGAGATATAGGGCGGAGATTAGAGGGATCATCAGAATCTCCGCCCTTATGCAGAGGAATGATCACAGTGAAACCAGTATATTTAGGGCACTGAAGATCGAAATATCATCGTGGCTTGTTCTTCAAGAACAGTTGATCCCAATGAAATGACACCACTGATGAAACCTTCGTCAGGGCCAAACTTTACTGTTTTGGAGTGTTGTGGAATACTTTTGAATACTGTCGAATGTTTTAGTAGATTCAATGAAATATATTTTCTTGATTTATGAGAATGAATTCAGCATATTTATATGACGAAGTACTTTCTCACCATTATTAATGTTTTAATTAATTCAACATTTAATTGTAAACACGAGAGAGAGCGGATAAATATGAATTTCTTAGTAGAATGAAATGAGTATTTTTATTTTACGAAATATCCTCGAAATGCCGAGAAAAATCAGTTCAGTTTCACTAAACAAACGAAACACAACCCATCTAAAAGTTGTATAGATAATTCTCAATATGTGTATAACCTAAATTTCTGATTTCTGAGGCAAATTTTATTTGATATTTCAACCTCCCCAATAATGAGTCTTAGAAATACATGTCAAAAATTCGTCATTGTGGAAATATGTGATAAATTTGAGATGAGCTCTATGAAAGTTCAAAATTGTTTTCTTACCAATTGTCACCGATCTTTGAATAAAAATCGTGAACATCCATAATAGATGCCTGTGGATGGTGGCGCAATGAGATTTGGCCATGGTTCAAGGAACATCTGCAATTAAGAACGATATATGAATTCATGCTTATCAGGATTTCTCTTCAAGTGAAGATCTCTCGTTTGATAGAGGGAAATTTCCGAAACAAGGCCGAAACATTAAAAACAGCATTGAAAGCTACACTATAATAGTAACGGGGAGTTATTCAATTCTAATTGATCATTCAGTAAATTACCCGAATTCTTAATCTATTGATTTCTAAACACTCTAGAAGACTGAGTTTCAAACTTCTCTCTTCTAAATGTAACACGTCGTATTCATGATTGAACTTATATCCTTCTGCTAAAATATGGTTTGCAAATGTGGAATTGATCTTTCTACTCACAAAACTACTTCTATTCTCTTTAATTCTTTGGGAAAATGTTCTCCCTGTTTGACCAATATATAGTTTTGGGCAAGAGTTTATATACTCCTGATCTTTCCGATACCGAAGTTTTGTCTTTATTGTTTTTAAGAAACTTACTTAGACTGTTATTCGTTCTGTGAGCTACGTTTACGCATTCTCTTAAAAAACGGGCAATATTAATGATTGGTTCACAATGTCCTATAACTGACGTTATCGCATCTTGAATTTGAGTAGACCTAGTACATGGCTTGCTTTTGTAGTTTTTTGGAAAGAATAGAGTCTATAATATCTACCTTATAACCGCGATTTGTTTGATCAAACTCAGCTCTCTCTGGAAATTACTCTCAGACAGTGCAACATTCAATAGTCTTGTGAAGCATATTATTGAATGCAGCAACTTTATGCTGATAAGGGTGTGTGAAGGAATTAGGTATGATAATGTCCGTGTAAGATGGTTTGTGGAAATTGTAAATTCATGTTTATTGTTATATTTCGTAATGGTTAAGTCCAGATAGCTGCATTCAACTTCATTTATTATCATAACTTTCCATAGACACCTCAAATGCCATCATTCGTCATATTGAAAAATGTTTAAAATATGGTTTAATATTTATTATATTGAATATATAAGTATTTTATTTTAATGCACTATAATTATTATTATTATATAACCGAGCCTTAGGGTAATATTTTCTTGAATTATTTTGAAAAAATAACGTTATCAAAGATTATGAAGAAATTGTTGTCTTCGTTTGAAAAATTGTAAGAATAAACGTTATAACACTCATACTTAAGTGTGTGAACTAATTTTAATTATTTTTGAAATGTTTTCAGATATTTACGATTAAAAAAAATTGTAGCGAATGAGTCAACTGTTGTTTTGTGAATTAACATAGTAATTGGCCAAAAATAGCAAGAATCAATTTCTTCCAAGTTTAATGAAATTTCCGATATGAGGAAAAAAATTGCATAATAAATATTTTCGAAGACAAGTGAAAAACAGTAATACAATTAGTAATAAGTGTATTTTTCGTATAATTCAATATAAAACTCAGGCCAGAGTCTAAAATCATGAAAGTCTGTTAATGAAAGAAATCGATATGTTCGCCACACTGAATATGACGAAGTCAAATTATTGCTGAATATTGCTGAAGTAATGGTAGAAAAAAACAAGATTTCGGAAATACCTCTATTCCATTATTAAAGATTTCGAATGAGTTAGAAAGCTATACATGAAGCTACACTGAAACTAATTGACATACATGAAAATAATTATGCTGAACAATTAAAAAAAATATGTTTTTTCCGTTAACCAGCTATCGCACCCCTACGAACCACAACCCTCAGAGGTCGAAACTTGTACGGGCTAAGGACTAACGAGGTATTACCTTTTAACGTGTGATCGCTAACACGAATTGGACAATAGCAAGTGAAAATCGAGAGTTCAGCCTGGGGCTTCAACCATCGACTCACACATCGGCCGATTGACTGAGTGAACAAAGCACCCACGTCGAACCACCCGGCTACCGATCGAGTATAAAAAGTAATTACCAGATTCGTTGGCTAGTATTGAACTAATACATGAAAGAACTGTTTCGTGTATCTGGCAATTATACAAATAGTCAAAGTGCATCCTGATTGTTTTGCATTTCTGCAATGAAATAATGACCATTCAAAATATTCAGTTACGATCAATCAAACACAATACAATTTGACTACATGAAACCAGGTAAAATGCATAATTTTCATTATAGGTTGAAGACAGCTGTTACTAATTATTGAATGTGATGAAATTCACTCACAATAATTCAGAGTTTGATAAATGGGCTACTTGCATGTCTCACAATTTTTGCTCAAATTCTATTTATCATTACAAGAATATATGTTTACTTGTTTCTTTTGCCAAAAATGTATGAACGGTAACATTTCTATAAAAGATTTAAGATACTCAACATCACATCGAAATGCTCAGCGTCACAAGTTGGCCGTACTACACGTCGTTCACTGGTGTTGTTGAATTTTATACAGTCAGTATACAATGTGGGAACAATTTGTCGTTGGTATATTTTGCAAATCTGACAAAATCAATAACAAATTTTTGTTTTGGATTCACCTTGTTTTCAATCTGGTACTATCATGTTTCTTTTCAATAAATTTTTTTCAAGTTTTCTTTAGTTCAAACGTGCAGTCACATGAATCCATTTTTTAAACTCATCTTCAATTATTTTGAAATAATAACAACAACAAAAATTAATTGGCGCTCCGGGGCGACTTAATTAATTCCAGTGGCGCATTTGCTTTTTCAGCTGCAGGAAAACCCGGAAAAACCTGCAGCACCACATCATCTGAATATCTTTCTTTCATAGAATAAAATATAGGGTGTCAAATTCGAAATATTGCCAGAATATTTAGTGACATGACTATCGTCAAACTTAAACCAGCCCGTTTCGTCTTTGACCAATGCGTAATAATGACCAGACTCAACGCCAGAACCACAGTGAATAATAATGACCGCATGAAGATTATAATAGTGGCCGCATATTGTTCATCTATTTTGAACCTTCGTAAGAGTTTGGTGCTTCCGTCAGAGTTTGAGTCACGTTTGAAGATCATCAGTGTTATTAATAGATTGACTGGTGTCTCAGCTATACTTGTTGTCTTAAAATAGTCAGTTATGCAATTGGTGAACGCAGTTAATGAAAGAAAAGCTCTTCAGTTCCACGTTATAATATTCAGTAATTAAATTAAGCTTCATTTTCTGCAAGTGCTGAGAAAATATCTGTTTTTACTCATTGAAAAATTCATGTCGTGCAGGTTCGAACCATGATTTTCTTTATTATATTCGTGGGGCGTGTTTCAAATTCGATTATCACTATTGGGATATCGGAAACTATGAGAGAACTAGCAGAGAAAAAGTGGCAATGTGGAAGTGCAATTTATTTTGGGATCTTTCGAAAAATAAAGCCAGAAAAAAATTAAAATCATTTTCCGAACTTTCTCAAAGGCATATTATTAGTCAGGTAAATGCGTCAGGTAAACCATCTTCGAGTTTGAAACACCCTGTATTGTAAAATCCTTTTTTGACGTATTCACGTTAGTACTTTTGCAATAAGCCATATCTTGTGAACCAATTTCATTTGTTTTAACGAATCTCTTCACTGCAAGAATCATAGCGTCAATTTTGTTCAATATCTAATGACTCACCATTTAAATGAAATAACAGAATTTCAAATCGAATCCAGTATTGCCAATCTGGTAAGAAATACAACCCATTTGAGCCACGTGGTCACTTAAGGTTTAAATGTATTTTACATACGCGATAATCAGGTATGAAAAGTTATTTTCTTTATTATAAGTAAAATACGTGCAAGTAATTTTTTGTTGAAACCGGCCGTAAATGACAAAACTAATTTTTTCAGTCAATCCCACCAATATTTATGCAACAATAAATAACACATTCAATTATTGAATGAGATTACCACAACAATATTTGTGATCATCAGTCACATTTCCTACTGAAATATGCAGTTTCGAGGTCCAGCACATGATGCCTGTCAACAAACAGGATTTTGCAACAAACCACACAGATTAAAATCAGCAGTTTCACTACATCCATTGTCTATGGGTGTAAAATATTTCGACATGATGAAAATGTACGGAAGTTCTTACCACGCCGACTTGATACTATGGTTTCCTTGGTAACTGGAGCACATTATTTTTAATACCATCAACTACCATGAGCCGCACACTATATCGATACGGATAGTTTGGTTCTGGTCTGAAAATATACCGTATAATGTTAATATTAATATGAAGTGTGCTCTTGAAACAGTTAATTTATCAAATTGCTGATCAGTGATGTGATTCAAAATCAGAAAAATACAATGTAACAATTTAAATCATTTCATGAAAAATACTTTATTCTATACAGTTTGCAGTGCAAACTGTGAAGTCTTAATGACCCATCGTTAGACCATTTTTCTCCTGAAGACAATGAGTGTGATGATAAATTTCAATAATGGAAGCTATTAGGTAAAACCCTAAAGAAAAAGCAATTTCCCTATCAGGCGATTAAATCTACAATCAAATCTCTACAGTATCTTACAGAGACTTTTATGGGACTCTTAATTAATACAGAAGGAATTTTGGCAATATCGCACATGAATTTTTAACTATAAGAACGAAATATAGACTCTTCACAGATTAGATGTACTGTTAGTTTTCGAAAGTAAACTAGTAGTAGCTATAGTGTTTGAAAGAAGACATAATACAAATTTCTCCTCAAATACCATTTTTTGTGCTTGCTGAGAAACTGATCAGAGATAATCTAAAAGCATTTTCTAGGTTATCCCGATGACATAATCGGCATGATTATTCACTAAAAAGTTAGTTGGAATAATCGCATAAACAAATAACTTTCTCTCCAGAGCTATAACGGTATTCTAGATACAATATTCTAGATAGAATATTTGGAAAGACAACGAGTTGGTAAATCAAAAATTATCTGATCCTATCAGAGAATCATCAAACCTATGCATCCTTGATAGGTGACTATGAAATGGAACAACCAATCTTTACAAAAGAAGCCTTTGTTTAGAGATTCCAAGAGCTGTTCTAGATTAAATATCAAAACTCCAGTTACAATTTAACTCATTCATTAATTGACCAGAAAACTGCCAAAAAAGCCGGAAGTTTGGGTTGATACAATAATATTCCAGATATCACTGCCAAATCTGATCTATGCCAAATCTGATAGATTATATAACAGTTGAGTAAAATTTCGACGTCAAGTCTGAAGTGTTATTTCAAATCAATGGCTCACTTTACTATTGTTATTGTACACTGATGGATCCAAAATGGGTGAAGGGGTTGGCATGACAGGGTCAAGATTCAAACTTTTCAAACCCCGTTGAAGGCTCCTTACCATAATTCAAGCAAAAACGAATGTTATAGAAGGATGTGTTCGGATGCAGCAATTGTGGTACAAAGCTCTTCATTTTATCAAACGACCAAGCATCATAAAAACTTTGAATTTGTTTACTTATATTGATTAACCCATTTCCAACAAGACTGAACAGTTTCTAGGGTCAAATTGGGAAAGGAGGAATTCCCACAGGATACTGATCACGTAAGTATCAATTCTGTAGCGACAACTACAGTTGTAATAGTTGCCGCTATCGAAACTGCACAATAGTTGTTTTGCGAATGTTTATCTCTGGTCTGCAAAAGGCTCTAATTACTTGAAAGGATAACACTTGGAGTCTGTAATTTCCAAATTACCAGGAAACAAAGTTCACTAGTAGTGTTAACATTCTGAAACTTGAATGATTGGCGCTGAGTAAAATAGAATTATACGTTGCAGTTAGGAACAATAAACAACAACCAATTTCACAACATAGAGGCGGAGCAGCTTCCTTTTGCAACGCAAATACCATTCTAATTTGATACTCTGATGGCTATTTTTTTTTGTTGGTTTGTTATGTAGTCTCAACGATGAAAATGGTAGAACGCAGGATTTTGAATCTCACATGTTGGAAATAAATTCAAAACATGTACCTCTAGCAGTTACAGTATACAATACACAGCTTCTACTTGTCTACTACGAAAAATACTAACTAGCGGACCAGGTTCCCAATGCAGAGGATTATTGTAGATGCTTCTTCGTTTCCAGTGTCAGTAAGTTACTGGTCACAGTCATACTGATCACAGTCTACATATCTGTACTATACATATCGGTTACGAAGCATTTTTGGAGAAGCACAGGCACTGTAGGAATATCTTCTGAAAGCAGTGCATGTACGAAAGAATCAATTTCCTCAGATTGAAATTCATTTGGAAAAACTGTTTTCTAAAGTTTTTTGCATAAGAGGCATTGAAAGTTGCTGTGGTGTGTACAGCTTTGTTGAGAATGGAATTCCAAGTTTCTGAGAAGCTGTTTTTTTTACTACTTGGCAGCCGTCTGACTTGTCCATTTTTTCAGTCTCTGGAAAACACTGCAGCCTCATGGGCTCATTACGTTTTCCTCCCATTTTTTCACTAGACACCTATTTCAACAATTTTGTGCCCTGTACTGGTTTGTACAGGTCTCTGGCTGAATGTATGTCATATTCCTCTGGACATAATTAAGGTTGGCCTTAAATTGTTTGTTTCCTGTTATCCAATGCCTCGCATTTCCGTAAAATATGACGAGCTGTCTCTGCCCTATTTTGTCCAGGTATTCTCTCAGTGGGTAGTGACCAGTGAGAAGCACTGTAATTGTCCTGAGCCAATACCTGGCTGTTGAGGCAGGTCTTCGGTTCTCTTTTCGGACGGCCCCCTTATAAAGGTTCTCTCGTGGTTGTTTTCCCAGTACTCTGTATGTTTCTTATAGACACATTCACCAATCTGGTTCCGTACCAAAGATTTTGGTAACCCCATAGCTGGTTCGTAGTTGATGAACCGTGTCTGGCACACCCACCCACTCTTTCGTTATTTGAGTGTCCAGGCACCCAGTATATAATCGAACTATACCTGTCCGCGTTAATGACCATGTTACGATTGCGCACGGCTGGTGTAAACCTCGAAGTAGAAATGGGTCAATTGAGGCTGAGCCTATGACAAGAAGCGCTTACTGCGCAACCTCTGCTGCAGGCAACCAGTGATGCAATTGAACCCAAGTTTGTGTTTGATAAACCCTACAAAATACAAATGAAACAGAACACAGAGTCAGATGCTACAAATGCAATATGCATACGCATATATACAGACGGCTCAAAAACCAAAGAAGGCTGAGGATATGGAGTGTACTCCAGATCACTAAGCCTAAAGATTGAGGGTGGAATGGGAAAGAATACCAGCGTGGTCCAAACAGAACTGGCTGGTATCTCAATCGTCACAAAAGAAATAACCAGGAAAGGAATTTCTGGCAAAAACATAACAATCTGCACTGACAGCAGACAAGCCCTATTAGCCTTGAACAGACAACGTGTTACCTCAGGGCTAGTACTAGAGTGCCACCAAGATTTAGCCAAAGCCTCTGTAGATAATAACATTATCCTGAGGTGGATTAAAGGGCACGACAGGACTAAAGGTAATCGCATTGCCGACTCTTTAGCCAAGGAAGCGGCTGGACTGAGAATTTTAGGATCCAGTGGCACCTACGGCCTGATAACTCCAACAATTGCGGAACTAGCCAAATGTTACACCCACGCTCAATCCCTAAAGAGATTGGATGGAATCAAAGGATGCAATCTTGCCAGGTTCGCCCTGGGCGACCCTGGGAAGCTGGTGGCGATGACCAGGAAAAATCTACGCTTAACAGTAGGATTTCTGACTGGCCACTGTCGATTAAGGAAACACCTCTATAATATGTGGCTAGTGGACACACCCTCATGCAGGATGTGTGAACAGGAAGATGAGACTGTCAGGCATGTCCTGTGCGAATGCCCGGAGTTATCGTCAATAAGAGAGTGTGTGTTCGGCGAGTCTTGGCCTACACCTGCCAAAATAAAGGAGATGTCTCCCAGTGACCTGTCCACCTTCCTGGAAAGGACAGGATGGACGATGGCCTAGGAGGACAACTCCTCGGGAGGAAAACTCCTCGGGAGGAAAACTCTAGGAGGAAAACTCCTCGGGTCACATGTGGCCTAAGTGCTGTGGGCTTACACTCACCCTCCCTACTCTACAGATACCTGTCCGCCATTTTTCTTAGTTCTTCACGGCATCCACAAGCCAGTCTCGACGTCACTTTTGGGTTCGTCAGTGCCCCAAGTGCAGCCTGGTTGTCTTTGAAAATATTGATCCTCTCATATCGTTGAGTCCTCAGATCAACAAAAGAGACAATTAACTTTGGATTTGAATATTTGTAGGTTGAATTCATTTTTAAAAAATGTATTGGGAGTTCTTTCCATAAGATCGCCGTCAAAGCAATAAAAGTTTCTGAGATACATGTATAGTTTTGTTGGAAATAGTATAAGTTTCTCAGAAGGTGTCTTTGCTATGGCGGTAACTTGATATTGTTGAAACATATTAGTTACAAGATCAAAAAAATCGACGTAGTTAAGGGAATTCTGTGCCCTGACATTACTATGGGTAGTTCTCACATATTTCATAGAAAATTGTATTGTTACCCCAAGCTAATCTTTCCTTCAGATCCTCAATAAGATATGACATTTCATGTCAGCGATGGTGTGTATTGGCAGCTTATGTTCAGGCATTTGAAGGAAAACAAGGAAAGTGAGCTGTCATTAGCAAAGCAATTCCGGTGTTTTCCATTATGTTATTGATGGTTATTAGCAAAATGGTTGGAAAGGAGTTGATGGTAAAGGTATCCAACAGAAAGTGATCCATTTGAGGAACTATATTTACGAAAGGTGTAGACCAACGAATTAAAATTATCTGATGGGCCATAACTTCAAATTTTAATTAGTAAACTCCCATGCCAGATACGATCAGAAACCTGAGAATGTCGAGATGTTTCGTGTTTCTCGATTACATGGTCCCAAAGATGGCTGAGTCGCAAAAATGGCTGTTATATAAAAAAAATCGCCTGTTGATATTTGCTTTCCAGAAACATTCTACAATTTTTGGAACACTTCAACATCTTGAACAACCAGGAATCAACAGCTTAATCCATGTCTTTGATGTCACTGATGGTGAAGCAACGAGTCTATAGTTATTTGAAAGATGTTTCTTGTCTATATTTGGCATAGATCGAACTTGTGCGATCTTACAATACGAAGAAAACACTTTTTTCTCTAATGCAGTATCGGTGCTGTATGGTTTTATAGTATCAACAACCGTTATATGAACATGAACCAGTCAACCTTATTGAAATAATGTCAGCTATAATGTCGCTATTTAACAATTCTTCTATGCATGATAGCTGGAAGATATTAATGTTCTGAATCTCATTCGAGTTCGCTATTTCATAGTTTTGTCTTGGTTGTGCAAGCTTACCGGTTAATCTAGCAGAATCATAGTTTTAAATGCACGCCTCATAAACATCAGGTTATTAGGTTCTGTCCAGATATATAAAAAAACTTTCATTCAATTAGTTGTAGGTAAGTAGTAAAATTTTTAAAGTAATACATTTTCTAGGGATGGATCAATAGTATCTACCAAAAAAATTGTACTAAACTTAAAAAATAATTTCGATATGCTCACAGAACTTGTCAAATAATCCTTCAATAGTATCATAATTGTAAAAAACTCAGCAACTTTCACGAAAACAAACATTTTACGAAAACAAAATTCACCTGAAAAACTCCTAGGAGAACTTTCAACTCAAACTCCAACTTGAAGCTTGGAACTTTAAACAAGCACCTTTTACACTATCACAAAAAAAGGAAGGTACCACACTGCAGAATACACTTTGTAGCACGTTCATACTACAATGAAACAATTTCTTGTCTGTTAACTCGCACCTGTTCGTGTTCAACTAGCGTGAACTTCGAAACATCGAAAGCTTCCACCTCTAACGGAGAGCGATTATTAAATTGCTCGTTCTGTACTTTGATGTCGAAGCAGATTTTCATTTTTCAATTTTCCAGTACCTATTGAAAACTTTGCTTATGAAACGGTTGTCAATGAAAGGTCAAAATATGCTCTTGTTTGTGTTGACTAACCATCAACGAATACGTTTGTATTTACCTTTGGTTGCCATGGTGTCTCTTCGAATAAACACAGTAAAATACAAAATATCAACTCAATCTGAGAAACTTAAAAAAATGTTGTAATTGCTTTCTTGAAAAATGTAGAATTAACGTTTCTCCTAGGTTATGGCCTATGAAAAAATGATACTTTCCTGTTACCCGAATATGGAAAAAACACAGTAATACCAAATTTGAAAGTTTACTTTTGAAAACTGAGTGAAAAAAAATATTTCATTACTTCCAAAACATCGCATCTTCAGTATATAAGTACAGTGTCATCCCCAAAGTATGCACCATATGGGACATTTATTTATTAAGGGTTTTTCGACAAAAAGTTATTTTTGATAAAAGTTTGTGTATCCCCTAAAACTTAACATTTCCCGAGAGTTTTCAAGATGAGAGTACTTTACTCTTGATTCAAAATCAAATAATTGAAGGCTCCTCGTATATACTACGTGTGTTTTACTGTATTTTGTTGGTGCATGTTTAGTTTTAGGGGATGCACAAACTTTTATCAGGAATAACACTTTGTCGAAAAACCCTTAACAAATAAGTTTCCATATGGTGCATACTTTGGGGATGACACTGTATATGAGTACCTATACTGTAATTTTTGGAAAAGAAATAACGAATTAAATTTGTTAAAACCGAGACAAAAATTAGTTTTGAAAAATATTTATTCATAACTTTTTTCAAAGACAATATACAGGCAGTTTCTATATTCTAAGCCGTAACAGATACGAAGACGATTAAATGGGAAAAAGGTAACTGTCAAACTGTCATCAAGAACAATACAATGGTCGAAGAAAATTTACGGGAGTCTCGCCCTTCTCGAGTTATACGGAAAAAACCAAAAATGCTGTTTTTCGTTTTTTTTTTTTCGAATGTTATTGTATTCGAAGTATGCTATGACAATTTAATAATGAATATTCGATAAAACGTTTCGTGGCAACATGGCCACCATCAAGTTTTTCTTTAAATACGGACCAGTCTTTTTTATTACAGATATTGATAAAGCGATAAATTAACAATCACATTTGATATTTTTATACCGTTTCACTTGAAATAACCATCACCATCATCAGTGACAACAATGAAACAGAAAAACAAATTATTTTCATGAACTTTTGAGAAAAATGAAACCAATACGGAAAATCAAAGCTACAGCGCAATCTACATTAAATGCTCGAATTGAAGACCTCTTTGTTGAATGCACATAGGTTCTAGCATAATAGGTGTAATACTAATACATGTATCTCTTATTTTTTGTTCGAAATGGTCCATATCTGTACTTGGTGTTGAAAAAACTTTATGCTTTATGTATCCCCAGACAAAAAAATCTAAAGGAGTTGGATCTGGGAATCAAGCTGGCCAGTTAATTGGTCCATTGTTTCCAATCCATTTTCTTGGGAATATTGCATCTAAATGTTCCCTTACTATTGCTGTATTATGAGAAGGATCATACCAAATTAGACAACAATCGAATTTTGACCGAAACTGATATTTTCGTTACTTCCAGGATTGAAAATTATAAAAATATTATGATTTATAATTGATTAGGGAGATATAATCCTTTGAAGAAGGATTACGTCAATACAAAAATTCCCAAAACGAAAAAGTACGAATTTTCATTGTGTTAGGGTACCTACCTGTCGAATTTATTGGGTTGTCTGAATTATATTTTGAAGAAATCCGAAACAATTTACAAAAGAAGTAAGGAAAAGACCGTAATTTAAAATTGTTGTTACTGATGATGGTAGTTATTTCAAATGAAACGCTATAAAAGTATGAAATGTGATATACCCTTGGATTGTGAATTCATTGCTTCATCAATACCAGTAATAAAAAAAAACAGGTCCTTCATAGAGGGGTATCACAAACAAGGGGCCACGTTATTTTCATTTTTTTATAAAATAAATACTCTGTAAATAAGGGCACTAGGAGCTAGCAGCTAGCACTAGAAGCTAACAGAACATATTGAGTGTTAGGAATCATACGTTAAAAGGTAAGACCTCGTTAATCCTTAGCTCACATAAGTTTCGACTTCTGAGGGTTATTGTTCTTAGGGATGCTACAGCTGATTACCAGAAAACAGAATTTAAAACAGATTTTTTTTTTGACAAATATATTTAATTTTCGAGAAATTTATGGGAAATGCATCGAATCAAAACAATAATGAGTTTATTTAACGTGTAAAAAACAGTTAACAAAATGAACTCAATCAAAACCAATTTACTCTTTATCTCAAATTATCTCAATCTTCAATAAATGTTCGACTTGTATATAATAGAATGAAAACAGTAGGCTCATCTAGTATCATTCTATAAGTAACATAAATCTAAGGAAATGAGGTCTGGTGACATTGCCGTCGATCCACAAATGTATCAATTGCAATTTGATTTGTATTCAAGAGGAGATTCTGGCCAGTTCACATGTTCGCTAATTTACATTTTCTTACATTTTGTACTCTTTGAAAATTTCATATTTTCCAACATTTTTGAGGGTAAATTTTCTTTATGTGGACACCCGGCGATTTTGAAAAAATTTTTGACTGTACTTACGTATTTTGATGCGTAGATTACGAATCCGAAAGAAAAAAGCGGCGCTCTCCCTTATTTAAAAAGTTACGGCCCTTCAAAGTTCAGAAAAGGGCAACTTTTCAGCCTTCTTTTTCACTAAATAAANCTTTTCTCAGTGAAAGGTCTGGTTTCAGTGGAAATCATAAAAAACCATTTTCAACCCCTAAAATTCAACCCACTTGTTTCTAGCAAACTTTTGCACTGATCTAGTACAAAAGAAGAAAACTGAAACCCAGCTTTTATATGACACACATTTCATAACACCGTGTACAAATAAATTAAGGGGGTACACCGCCAGACTGGCTGTAAATCAAATTATCTAAAAGAACAATTCATGTTGACGAGGGGCCAAATAGCCCGAAACCGGTCTGCAAGTGTGCCCGTTCCAATAATTGAAAATCTATTCCGGCAGTTTTATCGCCAACAGCAATAGCCAGGGGAGTAGTTGTTTTCTGATAGGTGTCAGTCCATTAACCTATAGTGAGTTGAGACGGGTCTGAATGAATTATTTTAATAGATAATTTGATTTACAGCCAGTTTTCAAGTATGCCCCGTTACTATGTGAAGATTTTTTCCTTATACGAAGAATTGGGCGATTCGTATATGTGGTTGGTTAGTACCTCGTTTACGGGCAGATGGGACGATGACAAATATGATGTTTGTCGTTCGCTTCAGCCTTGTTCGAGGAATGATACTCCGAAAGGAATTCGATTTTTGATTATGGGAAATCATCGACTTCATGTAGATGATGACCTTGCACTAACGAGAGGTCAAATAGCCCGAAACAGGTCTGCAAGTGTGTCCGTTCCAATAATTGAAAATAGATAGCGGCAGCATATTGAGGAATGGCTTCTATGAAGAATCCTGCGCTTACACCTGCCGGATGTAATCCAGCGCCCTTCATGGTATTAGCCAGGGGAGTAGGTGTTTTCTGATAGGTGTCCATTAACCTACAGTGTAGGTGGGTTGAGGCTGGCCTGAATGAAGTGTTCTTTCAGATAATTCAACACCGTGTATGTGACAATTGGGGTTGGAAAATATAAATAGCTTTGCTGATGACATCGCTATACTGTTACTGTATAGAGCAGAAACATGGGCTCAGAACGAAAGCTGAAAGGGATATGGATATGGAAAGGATATGTTTTCAAATTCATTAACCATTTCTGAATGCAAGCAAAACCAAATATTTACCTTCTGCCTCTTAAGCAAGCGGCCTCCGAAACCTAGGTTCGATAGGAATTGATGAAACCACTGAAATATCTGAAGCTGAATCCATGAAGTATCTTGGCTGAATGGTGGACAGACATTCTCAATGGTATCTTTAGGTTGCAAATAATATTTTGAAATTAATAAGAGGGCTTCCTCTGAAAAATGTTTTGGACATTCCAAGCTTGAGAAATGTCTACCTCTTACTGGTACAGCCAATTCGTTTCCATAGTATTCTAGGTTGGGGCGATGTAATAGATGAGAATCTGAATATATTGAAACTGTGGATTTTTTTTTAATTCATTTTTTTACTATTATTTTTTTCAATCTTCACGGCCCAAAATTACCAACTTTTTCCCAAGTTGAAAAAGCAGGGGGAGGGTCTCCCCATGGCGACGGCCCTGGCCAACGTAGTTGTAGTTATTTGAGTAGTAGACTATTCAATGTGTCAACAGATACTATTAGAGAAAGGGAAACTTTTCACCAATTCGAACGCAAAACAAAAAAAGTTATAGTAGAATGTAAACGTCAATTTTTACATAAAATCATAAATAGTAATTGAAGGATGATGTACCAATGAATCTCCCTTATTTGTATTTTAGTTAGTACGAGTATATTTGTGTATTTGCGAATATATATGTGTGTGGGGTAATATCCCGGATTCTTTAATCGAATATTCTTTTTGAAAATTTTAAGAACTCTATTCGTAGTCAAGAATTAACAAGGAGTGTGTTACATGCCACGTACGACCTGGCAACTTTCTGTAGTATTTTTCTTCTCTTTTGTTTATTCATATAGTCATTTGTAAAATTCTTATCATACGTTTCACTAAATAAACAAATCTTATTTTCTATCAATTTTGAAATAGGTTTTATGCCTCCCTGTAACTTTTATTTTGAATGGAATGCACTCATTCGCAAGTTCAATCGCAGGCAATCAACATATTTCCAAGGAGAATGGCCAGTGTTACATAACACATAACATACAATTTCTGATTTAATGTGAAACAGAAACAAACGCTTTTTGTATTTCCGTGAGCTA